ATAGGGAATAAGACCCCCTATTTATTTTTTCTTTCTTTTTTTTTTTTTTTCTTTTTTTTTGTGTCCCTCCATTTGGGGTATCTCAGAAGTCCTAGCTGCATTTTTATTTATTACTATTATTTATATATAAATTTTTCTGGAGAGCAGGAATAGACTCGAGAACAGAAACGCCTCCGAAACATTCCTTTCCGAGGAGCATGTGGACTCCTGCAGGGGAAAGCTCCATCCTGGTGTCTTTGGGCCCACTTGTGTAGGGAGAAGGAGGCTTTTCCTCTCTGTGGGGACAGCATAGCCCAACTGCTGCACTTAAACCTGCACCAACAGTGTTTCAAAAATGTGTCTCTGAGTATCCTATTATTCCCTGGACTGCTGCTTCTCCTGCAAGGGAAGAAGATCCAGCTGCAAGAGGGGAGGGCTGGGGGGGAGGATGTGGTCCCTGCCGTGGGGAGCCGGATCGCTCCCGCCGCTCAAGGCGGTGGCTTTGCCCGCTCCGGGTGCGCGGCTCTGCCCCTCGCCGCTGTCCCAACAACGCCGCGCCTGGCGCTGCCCGCTGTTGTGTCTGCGCACGCTGCCTTTCGGGCCCACAAGGTAAAAGCGACGATTACGGTACAATGCGCCACAGTTGTCTGCAACTTCAAAGTGAAAACGCTCAGCAGCAGGCTGCCCTGGAAAAAAAATAGGGAAATGGCTCTCTCTAGCCAGGGAGAGGTACTAACTGGCTTTTCCTGTCTCCTGGCTTTGAGGTTTGTTTTTTGGTTTGGGGCTTTTTTTTTTTTTTTTTTTGTCCCCCTTTTTTTTTCCTGCCATCCCTGCAGTGATTACTGGCTGCTAAAGAGCTGTGCAGCGCTGCACGTTTAAGGGAATCCAGCAGACAAGTGCAAAGCCTGTAGGAAAAGGTGGTAAGAAATACACTGGCGGGGGGGAAAACAGCTCCTTGAAGGAAGAAGTAGGAATAGGAAGAAAACCTGGAGCCTGTGCGTGGAGTCTCTCGGGCCCAGGTGCATGGGGTGGGTCGTGCTCGGCTGCTGCAGTAGGGCTCTCCCCCACCTTGCTGCTGCCAGGTGATGCCTGTTGAGTTTGCTCTGCTCAGGCCTTGCTTGCAGATAAAACCCGAGCTGGTGGCTGCTGCAGTGTTGGCCCCTGGGTCCTCTGTCTGGAAGCAAAAAGCTCCAAGAGTGAAAATGGGGCAGCACTTTTCCCACTGGGAAAGTGGCAGGTTCGTCCAACTCACCCTCGTGCTGTGTGAGGGTCGTTGCTGTAACGCTCCCCTCCGGCAGCACATCAGCTTGAATGGAACGGAGGGCACTTGCCTTCCAAGGCACCCCTCTCTCCTCACCCCCAGCCCCTCTCATTGCTGATTTTGCTGAGCCTGAGGCGGGGGGAAATGCGCTCTGCTCTGATCCGGGTGAGCCAGCGCAGTGAGACTGTGGAAGACAGGGAATGATGGGATCCTGTTTGCAGCCTGCTGCAACTTGCTGCATCCCATGGCGCCACGGGTGAGCTGGCACCCAAAGCTCCCTCCCTCCTTCCCGAGGATGTTTCCTTGGCCTTTCTTAAAGGCAAACCGAGTGTGTGAATTCAGAGGTTGACTTCTGTTCTCCAGCGAGCAGAAGACGCTTGAGCAACCTTCATTGCTCAATAGGAGGTGGAAACCCAAGTGCTCCCAAGGTGTTCAGCCCTCGGAAGAATTCCAGACTTTGTTGGGAGCAGAAATGGGGTGGAAAACAGAGCCTCTCCCACCTCCTCCTAAATCCCAGCAGCATCCAGCCGCTGTCTCCTGATGGGGAGGAGATGCTCTGGTGTTAGGTGCCCTCGCGTGCTGGCTCAGCAAGGAGGCCAGAGCCAGGAAGGACTGCGAGTACCTCATTGCTGCCAGGGATTCCCAAGGCTGGTCATAGCATTTCCATCCTTAATACAGGTTTTGGCAGAGCGCTTGGAAGGTATTTCCTTCCTATGCTTGTGGTCATGGTGCTAGCAGCTTCTTGCCTCCCTCCCACAGAAGACTCTTGACTCCTGGAGATCAGAGCCAGGCTGTAGGTTGGAGGGGGTTTTGGTGATGTTACTGCTGGGATGAGCTTTAAAGCATCAGGATACCTCCTTATGCTGCTCGTGTCCCACCCCACCACCTTCAGCTTGACACCTGGACCCAGCAGCTCTGTAGCAGTGCTGGAGCGTCTCCCTGGGGTTGGCTTCAAGCAACTGTGGAAGCATCTGTTGCTGGGGTGGTTGCAGGGATGGAGAGATCCCTTAAAATGAATGCTGAAGCTCCCCACACTACGTGAACTGAGGTGCTGATTAAAGCTACCTTTAAGTAGGAGTTTGTAAGACCAGCAAAGGGCTGCACGTGTCCTTCAGCTGCCTTGCCCTTGAGCTGCTGCAGGGTGAGTAGGGGTGTTGCCGTGGCCAAGTGGCCACACGGTTTGGATCTCTGCTACCTAAAGTTGGAAGCATCTGTTTGAACACGCAGAGCGCGGAGCACTAAAATTGCTGTGTGGGAGCAGCCAGCTTGCTTCTTCGCTCTCAATCCTGTAGGCAACCCTGCTTTAAACACACAAAATAAGCTGTGTGAGGCCGGCCTGGCTGCCTGGGAGGATTAGCCAGCTTGGAACCAGCCAAAGGGCCGAAAGAGGCCTGGAATTGGTATCTCCCAGCCAGGATGGGATGGCCAAGGTGTTGGGAAGCAGTGGACACAGCCATCTGCAGCACATCTGTCTACCAGGCAGTTCTCCCTATGCATAGGGGTTCTTGCATTACAGAACTGGGACCCTGCACTAGTGACTTGAGGGATTTCTCCCCTTCCTCCCTATCAAATTCTACTGCGACGCCTGGAGTCATCGTCTTGCATCTAGGTGGTGGCAGAGAAGCATGGGGGAAGCCTGGCACTCATCTGGAGGCTTTGGCTCCCCAGGGGTACCGCTGGAGAGGGAATAGCAGGAATTACAGCAGTCCTGTCTTGGTTCAGCACCGTTTCCTGGTGGTGCTTCCTGGCTGGCAAGAGCCAGGAATCACAAAGTCTGTCTTAAAAAAAATGCTAGTGTCAATGCGTACTAGAAACTCGTTAGCTGTTCTGTGCCAGCCACTGCTTGGGCTCATACACAGACCGTTTTGATGGGTCAGCCCTTTCCTGTTACTGAATATGTGCTTGTTCATTGCAGAGCCTGTTTGACCTAGCCCCATGGGCTCAGTCAGCTCCAGCCTGTGGCATTTGCAGCAGGGACTCTAGAAAAATATCTTGCATCTAAAATAGGTGGATTGCGAGGGATTGTGTTTGCGGTTTTGTTCTCCTCCCACACAAAACCCGTGTCCAAATCCTCTGCGTGCGCTTGGGCACAGGACTGCTGAGCACACAGGCAGTGTCCCACAGTACCAAGCCCAGTGGTAGCAAGAGAATAAACTGGCCCCAAATTGTCTGGGCTGTGGCTTGCAAAGGGACAGACGGGAAGGGTGAACCTGCCTGAGGAAGCTCTGGGTGAAGGCCCAGGCTTTTGGTGCTAATGCAGCAGGTTTCTAGTCCCAGTGCTGCCACATGGATGTGCTGCACTAAAACTGGAAGAACTTTCCAGACTTGGTATCTGCTCCCTGTGTTGCCCCAGTTCCTCGAGGGAGATGCTCTATAGTTAACTGTACAACAAAAGACCAAAAGCAGCAACTAGTGTGTGTGCTGAAGGAGGGGATCTGGAGAGGGCAACATTACCAGGGCTCCTGGCTGCGAGTGTTTTAATGCAGCCCCGGGTGATCCCTGGAAAGCAAACCGTGACATAGAGGACATCAGAGAAACACAAAAGGTAGTTCCCGTGTTCCCTTGTCCGATCTTAGAGAAGATTCCTGGGGGGCTCCCCGAGCTGGAGGCAGGTTTAGCCACAAGCCTGTGCCGGCAGCACGACAACCCTGGGGCTGCAAGGCCGTGCAGAGCCCCCGTGAAGCCTGTCCACATCTAAATGCTACTGGGGCAGGGACTGTGGCAGTGCTCTCCGTGCTGAGGACCTCTTGGTTCTTCTCTTTGCTGGAAGATGTGACTGTTGTCAGCCTTGCAGTCGTATTTGTGGTGGGCCGGGGACACTGCTGTGCATGAAGGACTGTCCTCGTGGCGGGAAGTGTCTTGGCTTGGGGCAAGTGATTTCTGGCTGGAGTTAGTTCCTCTCTTCATCCATGCCAGGGGCCGGCAGCTGCTTCCTCTTCTGCTGGTGGGTCTTTTGGGTGCCTCTGAGCCCAGTACAAGCATCACCTTTAGAGCCATGAGTTAAATACACAGTGTAATCAACATCTTTCAAATAAATGTCCATGGAAGGGCTCTGAGCACCCTTCTGCTGCGTCCCTTCCCCTCTGCACCACGTAGGCCTTCTCTCAGGAGAGTGCATTGGGTTTCTTTGCCCAGTGCTTCCCGTGTCTTCCTTCTTCCTCTCCTGGTAGAATAAAGCTGTGCTTTTCCCTCCTAGATGCTAGCCATTTGTGTGCTTGGTGCCAAGGAGAAAACCTGTGCGTCTCGTGGGTCGTGCCTTGCCCCTGCATCCAACCCTTGAGGATCCAGGGCGGTTCTTTGTGCTCTGGGCTCAGCCAAGATGTCCTTCTAGGCATGTGCAGGCTTCCTCTGAGGCTCCCTGCAACCATCCCCAGATTATCAGTGGGTTTTTCACGTTCCTGGTGAACGGGGTCACGCATGTGTGTGGTGCTGGTTTGGGAAGAGGGGATCTGAGCAGAGGACGTGTGTCATTTGTTTGTAGGGGAGGCTTCCTGAGGCCAGGAGTTTCTGTTCCCAGTGGGTAGGGGAATTTGTAACCTCTGTGGCTCTGGCCTTTTCCTCCTACTTCACATATGTCGAAAAAAGGGGAAAAGCTGGTGCTGCGGCTGCAGGAGGTGTTCAGGCTGGTGCTGGGGAATGTCACCCAAACCGTCCTAGTGAACAAAGTCCCCAGCAAGAGCACTCTGGGCAGCACAACGTGCTGGGCCCAAGCTTGGGCCTCAGAAAGCCAGACATCCATGCGGCTGTCGTCCCCCGCTGCCCCTGACAACTATCCCAAGCGCAGCAGACAAAAGGGAGCAGGGGTGCCCTCAGTGTTGGTGTGGGCTGCTTGCCAGCCCAGAGCATCAAACCCCAAAGGCAGCCGGGACCCGCTCTGGTCCCCCCGAAAAGCGATGCACGTGCGGGCCAGGCCGTGCACTCCTGTCTGCAGCTGCTTTCTCCTTGGCTGCTTTTCCAAGGTGTCCTGAGCTGTGGGTTATGGAATGGGAGGGTCTCTCTTCCCTGCTTTCAGGGTTGCCGTAAGACAGGAGAGACTTGGAGGAGCTGTCTGATTCCCCCAGTGTCTGTTTTGTTGTCCATCAGGGTGATGAGCTCGGAGAGGAAGGACGGAGCATAAGTGCAGACCTATGGGATACAGCTGGATAAGCAAGAGGGGTTGACACAGACTCCGAAGGATGTGGGGAGCGGAAAACCAGAGGAGGCAGAGAAGGCACTGGGGCTCCCAGTGCCGCAAGCAGTTGGGATGAGCTGCAGGATGAGCGCCTGGCGCGGGGCTGCTGCGGCAAAGCGCGGTCTGCGGGGTGCAGCCAGCGCGAGGAGGAGGTGGGTTCCTCGGGGGGGCCCATCCCTGCCGCGGGGCCCGAGCCCGGGGCAGCATGGAGGCGGCCGGGGCCGGTTGGGTCCGCGGCAGCGG